CCCAAAGTGTGTGTTAAAGAACGGAAGTAGTATTAAAACGTGAATAAGCTGCTTAAAGATCCTTAAAACAGACACATCCTAAATATCTAACATACCTTCATCCATAGAAAAACAAAATCCACATCCTCCCTAAAAAGTGATCTGCCTTCAGGCTCTTACAGCATGCCAGAAGATGATATTAATATTCAGTCTTGCATCATTCCCCTTCTTTTCCTGGACACAGTAAATCATCATCACTGGAGAAAAGGACCAGCATTTGGGAGAGCTTTTCATAGCCTGTGTAACTAAGTTAAGGAATTTTAAAGAGGAATTTTTCTAAGTCTCAGAGAGAAAAAGTGTTCGCTTTATATTTGCAGTACAGACTCCGTTGTGTTCCAAGAATGGACACCAAGGATGAATTCAATGAATTCCCTTTTTGTATCACACATTTGTACCCGTTTCTTTTCAGGAATCAGGATTTCTAAAAGCAAAAAACATTTGCTTTCTTAGATATTGCAGTTAACTTCATGTAGTGTGGGTAAGACGGCTGCTGCATTTAAAACAATCTGAGGTACTTCATCATCCTCATATAGTTCTGAGGAGTGGGATAAGTCCTGTTGTGTGGGATGGCATTCAGAGTGAATTTGGGCATTAAATAAATAACAGGGAAGAATCTGCCTCTTTTTTAAACCTATGATGAAATGACTTTCCTGGTCAAGAAATACATATTTTTCTTCTCTTTTAATCTGATTATTTGCCTTTCTACTAGGAAGCATCACATTTTTCAAAGTGCCCGCACCATCTCCTCAGAGGATCTCTTTCTTTTCTGACTCAATACATACATACATTTCTGCTCTAATCTACAGCAGTAATTTTGAGTAGAACAAATGACATAAGATGTTTTTTATAGAGAAAAAATTACATACCTTTTTCTTCTTCTTTCCTTTTAGTCTTCTTGGCAGAGGATGCTTGTTAAATGCTCACACTCACTGGGTGAGTTTGGGCAAAAGGGGAAGAGAGGAGGTGCTGGAAGGAGCTTCTTTACAACTGAACCTTTGTCTGCCTTGTCTCTGGCTTGGGATCGACAGACTCGCTGCTCCGGCCAGGACTGCGGGGAGGAGGGAGTGAAGGAACCGAGTCTGCAAGAACTGCCTCCTTTGGAACTGTTCAGTTTGTTCCAAACCAGGCGAGAATGAACTGAACAGCTTCTTTACAGAGGGAAATAACTAGTCTATACAAGAACCTGGGGAAGGCAGACTCTTGCAGCAATAAAATATAAAACCTGAGGGATTTTAAAAGAACACAGAGTGATTTTTCCCTTAAGGAAAATTCTGTGTGTGTGTGTGTGTGTGTGAGAGAGAGAGAAGAGAAGAGAAGAGAAGAGAAGAGAAGAGAAGAGAAGAGAAGAGAAGAGAAGAGAAGAGAAGAGAAGAGAAGAGAAGAGAAAAGGGGGAATGGCTAGCTGTGCGCCTCTTTCCCTTTCACAGTTTTCCTTGCCATCTAGATCTCTTACAACATTTTGGTGGAAGATATGTTCCAATTCACATTCCACTGCTTGCATTTCTCACACCAAAGAGGCATTACTAGTCCATGGAAAGCTAAAATAAATGACTAAAAAAGAAATATACTCTGTGCCTTAGAAATAAAGGCTCAAAAGAAATTTTATTCTCTCTTCAGCAAGCTATACTGGAATTCTAGCATCTCTTGACTTTTAGGTTTACAAAACATTTGATTAGGAGTAGTGTTCTGGGAATTAGAGGTATGATATTGTAATGGAGTTGGAATTATCTAGACAGACAATGGAGGAAAGGACATTCCAGGTTGAATTACAAAGGCATGAAGGTGAAAGAGAGGGTGACGACTTTGGAGATTAAGTAGCTTCATTTGGCTAAAACCAAACATGGTAGGAGATGAAATTCGAGAGATATGAAGCAGAAAATTGATGAAGTACCTCATATGCCATGCTAAAATATTTGGATTTTATCCTGAAGATGAATGGAAAGAAGATGAAAACATATTAAGAAAAGGTGAAAGCTTGACTGCAGTGTGAAAGGATGGTGTCCCGGGAGGAAAGGAGACCAAAGACAGAGAACACAGGCTTTTACTGCAACCCAGAAGAGAAGATAGGAAGGAAAACTGAAAAGACTTGATGAACAATTAAGTGTTTAGTTTAGGGTAGATGTAGGAAACTTTATTAACTTTCCAAGGCTTGGCCCTTCGCATGGGCCATACTGTTAATCATCTAGAAAAAGAATATAAATGGAAGAGCTGTTATTCATCTAGGAAAAAGAATACAAGAGTTTTGGTTGGAGGAGGAGTGGGAAGATAGAAATGACTTTGTTGGTGAATGTTGAGTTTAAGGAACCCTAAATGCATTTGAGAATGTTTAGTAGGCAGGTGGTTAAATGGACCTGGGGCTTAGGAAAAAGCCCGGTCTGGAGAATTATTTTACCAACCAATCAACTCAATATCAGATAATCTCAACTAAATAACTAATAGAGTTATTCAATTAAATTATAGCTGAAGTCATAGTTGTAAGACTAGAAGGTTACTGTGCTCTTACTGTGTGCCAGGCCTTTCACACGTCTGAACTCATCCACTCTCCTTTCAGCCCTGTGAAATAGGTACTATTATTAGTCCCATTTTATAAATGCAGGAAACGTTAGAGATGTCAGATAACCTGATTCAAATCACACACACAGCCAGAAAATGGAAAGACCCTGGCAGTGTGGTTGTAGTGTCTTTGTTTCCCACCGTTATGCTGTACTGCCCCTTAGAATAGATTAGAGATGATAGGACTGAGAGAAGAATCATTTAAGGGATGGGTAGAGAACTGGGAAGGAAATTGACAAGAGGTAGCCAAAGAAGTAGTGGGAAAATTAGGAGAATGTCATCATGGAAGTTAAAGGAGTATTTCAAGAGAATGGAGGTGAATGGAAGGCCACTGATGACAGCAGTGTTGGGAGAGCCGCAGACGCACACCCTGATATGAAGGTAGGTAAAGCAAAGTGGAGGTCGGTAAAGCCAGAAGCAGCTCCAGCCCTGAGAGAGATCAAATCTCTGCTTGGTCTCCATTTCACTGAAGCTGGAGCAAGTGGCGTGGACTTCTGGAAGGGAGATGAGAAGTTTGTCTGCAATGGACTGCACATTTCCTTCACATATTTATAAACAAGCCTGCTGTGATCCTTACTAAAGATGATGCGACACACAGATGGAGTTAATTTGTTTGCATGATTTAAATGTACAGAAATATGTGAGTATGAGGAGGAAAATGGAAACTAGTTTTTATTCCACCTTAAGAGCTATCCGTCCTGTTTACCTCACATAGATCTAGACCAGAGGTATGGCGCCAAGGCAAATCAACATACCCTATACATGATTCCTCTCTTCACTCTGTTTTACTCTTATTTCCCTGTGTGTCTCTTTCTTTCTAAATTTCCCTTATTGTGCTGCTCATTTTGTCTCCTTGTGTCTGAATTCATAGCTGCTCAAAATAGTTGATTCATTTTTATATTCAGCAACACTGAATTCCATACAATATGCTTGGCATTGTGCTTATGAATGCTGGCTGTAAGTGGTACACAGCAGCTCTCAGTAATGATCTAATCGTCTCTGGATCACGTTCTGAGCCATTTGGGAAAGTTTCCTCCTAAGAAGCACATTTGGCCCTGGCCTCGAAGTCCCTTGTGTTTTCAAACATGTGTTTATTACTAGCTGGATTTCCCATCATTTCTAGGAGGAATTATTAAACGTTATCAAACTATAATGCTTGTCATTCATCCTGATATCCATTACATGGAGTTGTTCATCTGAGAAGGAGCTGAACTGCAAACCAAGGCCTGCAATCACAGTCTGCCCTTGTGGCTTTTAATTTGTGGCTCAAATCTAAAACCACTCTTTGTTTTCCTGTACATGGAGCCTTAAGGCCTTTTTGTTTTCTTTCCTAATGGGCTGTTACTCAGACCGCTTATTGAACCCACTTTATGTTGCTCTGAAGACCACCTGTTTCTTTTTTTTTTAATTGCATTTTAAGTTTGGGGTACATGTGAAGAACATGTAAGATTGTTGCCTAGGTACACACATGGCAGTGTGGTTTGCTGCACCTGTTTCTTGCACCTGTTTCTTTTATGAGACAGAGTCTTGCTCTGTTGCCAGGTTGGAGTGCAGTAGGGCTATCTTGGCTCACTGCAACCTCTGCCTCCTGGGTTCAAGCAATTCTCCCGCCTCAGCCTCCCAAGAAGCTGGGACTACAGGGGCGTGCCACCACACCTGGCTAATTTTTGTATTTTTAGTAGAGACGGGTTTGTATTTTTAGTGTTGGCCAGGATGGTCTCGATCTCTTGACTTTGTGATCTGCCTGCCTCGGCCTCCCAAAGTGCTGGGATTACAGATGTGAAGTACTGTGGCTGGCCGTGACCACCTGTTTCTTTGGGACAGCCTCAGGAGTCTCCCAAAGTGAACCTCTTATGTAACATAGGTCTTCTATTTTAAGTAAAACTGTCCAAATGTAATGTACAGATTTCCAGAAAATATGTCCAGCTATGTATTTTTATGTGATGATGATGATGATATGTGTATTTTATTTCTATAGGTATATGTTATCACTCTTAGGTCCAATCAGATTTGTTAGAAATAGAAAAATCCTCATAAATTAGTGATAAGACCTATTCGTGAGTAGAGAAACATTTGATACAGAATTTAAGCAATTACATTCAAAGTACTGAAATTAAATTTGTCAAGGGATCTAATTAGTATTTCTTTTTTTAAAAAAAAATCCCAAAATTGAAAAATTAAGAAAAACACCAAAAAACAGCAAAATCCTTCCAATCAGATGAAGTCTCAGGAGATGTCTGAGATATAAATAATTTCAGATATTGAACATTTTAAGCTTGTGAGAAGAAAAATGGGAACATGCATTAGTTCTTCCTCTGCTGTCCAACTGGAAGCTCATGCATACACTCTGACTTAGAATCTGCTGCTCCTCTGTTTCATGATTGACCCCTTTCTCTCATTTCCCTCAGGCTTAACTCCTTCTGGACTCACTGAGGCTGGCAGTATGGGGAGAAGCAGCAGCTGGTTTCAGCCTTCACAGTTCACACCTCCCTGGGAGAGGTAGGACTTGTTTTATGTGAGTATCCTTGACAAAAAGGAGCCTCAAAATAATTACACTAATTGAAAGCTAACTCACAATATGCTTGTTGAAACTGATGAGTTGCAGACAAAATTGCCTCTGAAAACTACCTTTAAAATCTTTCATCAGTCAAAAAGAAACAAGCTTTTTTATTAACTTAACTATTTTCAAACTCAGTAAAAGAGTTTTCTTTTTGATTAAAACTGTTTAAAGTATCCCTTAAGATTTCCACTGAACCTGGGACATTTATGCTTAGAATAGTTTTTGCAAGTGGGTTGAACAACATAACCTCTGTTACCCAAACCCAGCTTTATGTTGCTGGTGTGAGATTCAGGAAAACAGATTTTACTGAGGACTCTCCAGTGAGGCCCTTGAGGAGTCAGCAGAATCACCAAGTAACTGTTGTGTAAGAGGGTGAGCTGATGCTACCTTCCTGAAGGGAGAGAAATGCTTCCATGAGGCATTCCTGTTGGAATGCAGTTTCGATGGTATGATGTACCTAGGAATGGCTAGGATTCCCAAATGGGCAACCCTGGCTACAATGGGGATAGCCGGGAGAGTCTTCTGATGAAATGCTTTTAGTCAGGATAGCAAACACAGGCTTCTTTTACCTGGGCATAGAGAGTAAGGCATCTGCCTCCACCCCACCCCCACCCCAGAATGTTGGGCTTTTTAACAGAATTGATACATAGAGATTGTAAGGTTACTTGTGTGACCATGAGTAACATGATTTTCAATGCTGCAGAAATAAAGTCAGAAAGATGAACGTCAGGAGAGACGTGTGTCCAAGACAACTATCCACTTTTAGGAGCTCATGGAATAGTTGGAATGAATGGTAATGTTAATATGAAAATAAACTTTGGCGGGAAAAGAGGCCAAGAAGGAAAGGAACATGAAAATAACTTTTTTAGTTTCCTGGCACTCTCTAAGGGGCATTGGACTGGTGCATGGAATCACAGCCCAGAGCCTAGCAATATTTTTATGATTTGTTGGAGACAACCTACTCACTTACCAAACCTAGAAAGATGGAAAGATTGACTGAGTGTGTTAACGTGTATTCTTTTGTAAGTCCCGAGTTATTGCCCTAATTTTCTCAAAGTTGTTTCACCAGAGACAAGCATCTGGTGAGTTGATAATGTTAATTTTAACAGCAATGATAGTACTAATAATAATCCTATTAACTGCCATTGCCAAGTGTGCTAAACATTTTACAAATGTTGCCTTATTTAGTACAAGCAACTTGCTTTCGTGAGGTAGTTTCCAGATGGGGGAACTGGGGTTCAAAAAAATTAAGCAACTTGGCCAAGATGACACAGCTGATAGGTAGTGGGGCACAAACTAGAAACCAACAAAACTGTGCTCTTAGCCTGCTGCCACAATAAATAGTAAGAGGAATAGAATGAGAGATTGGAAAACCTAAAATAACAGCACTTTAAAAAAAAATTGTGACCCATAACTTGAGCATGCGTGAATCGCCCATGCTCTCTGTGAGCCATAGAGTCATCTTTTACTGTGTTTCCTCCATCCATTTTCTGTTCACATTTAGCTTGAAACAGTTCTTACCTGCACAGTCAGAAACTTAAATCAGCTGAATGATGTTTTCTACAAAGTCAGATATGGAAAACTGCCAAAATAGCCCCTGGGACAGAGTTTTTAAGTGATTATAATTCTGGAAGTAAAACCAGTCACTCAGTAAATATTTGCTAAATGAATGAATGAGGTAATGAATAAGTGAGTGAGTGGATGAGATTCTTGGGTAGAGGAGAGGTTCTTCGGAAGCAATCATTCATAATTATTTATTGAGTATCTGCTGTGTACCATGAACAATGTTGCAGTGCCGCTGAAGGCGAAGTTCAGCCCCCGATCACCACCCTTTCCTCAAGGTCCTCTCCAAAGCACAGGCTGGCCAGCTTGGTTACTGGGTCCTACTGTAAACCCTCAGTCTTCTCCTTTGTAAAATAAGGGGTTTGATGGATGATTTTTATTGTGCCTTTTATTTTCCATTTTTCCATGAGTAAATGATTTTTTCTTTTGTATTGAGATGGAGTCTTGCTCTGTCACCCAGGCTGAAGTGCAGTGGCACAATGTTGGTTCACTGCAACCTCTGCCTTCTGGGTTCAAGCGTTTTTTCTGCCTCAGCCTCCCGAGCAGCTGGGACTACAGGTGTGCACCACCACGCACAGCTAATTTTTGTTTTTTTTTTTGTAGAGATGGGGTTTCACCATATTGGCCAGGCTGTTCTTGAACTCCTGACCTCGAGATCCACCTGCCTTGGCCTCCCAAAGTGCTGGGAATACAGACATAAGCCAGTGCACCTGGCCATTCTAAATATAATTTTTAAACAAACATTTTAATTTTAGAATAGTTTTTGATTTACAGAAAAATTCCTAACTTAGTACAGAGACTTCCTATATACCCTATGCCCAGTTTCCTCTATTATCTAACTCTTACATTAGTGTGGTACATTTTTTATAATTAATGAATCTATATTAACACATTATTATTAACTGAAGTTCATTCTTTATTTATTTCTACTTAGTTTTTGCCTTTTTCTGTTGCAGGATCCCCTGCCCAGAACACTGCATTACATTTGGTTGTGTCTCTTCAGGTTCCTCAGTGTCTCAGACTTTCCCTGTTTTTGATGACTTTGACCATTTTGAGGAATACTTGTCAAGTATCTTGTAGAATGCCTCTCAACTTAGATCTGTCTAATATTGGTCTTAGGATTAAACTCGGGTTATGTGTTTGTAGAAAGAGGACCACAGAGTTAAAGTGCCATTTCCATCGCGTCATATCACACGTGGACATACAAGTCAGGAATGTGACTTATCCTTGTTGATTTAACTTCAGTCACCTGGCTCAAGTGGTTTTTGTTATGTGTCTCCACTACACGTTTACTCTTTTTCTCCCCCTTTCATGATACACTCTATGGAAGGAAGTCCTTATGCACAGTCCATGCGTAAGGAGTGGGGAGTTATGCTTTACCTCTTTGAGGGCAGAGTGACTACATAAATTTTGGGGAATTTTTCTTCACATGAAATTTATCCATTGTTGCTCATTTATTTACTTGTATTAGGATGAACTCATGTATATTTATTCTATACTTTGTATTATTTTATACTTTGGATTAAAGTATTCCTTGCTCAAACTGTCTCAGCTTTAGCCTTTAGGGTCTCCTGTAGTTGCCTCTTGTGTCTCTTTCACATACCCCCATCAAGGTTGTGGGTTTTGCTTTTGTTTTGCTTGTGACCACTTTCTTCCCTTCTGTCACTAAAATACTGCTCCAGGCTCATCTTGTGTATTTCCTATCCCATGACTAGAACCAGCCGTTTCTTCAAGGAGCCCTGGTTTCTTTCATTGAAGAATAAATTAGAAACGAAGATCTGGGAGCTGGGTGTGCTCATTAGTACTGGTGTGTCATAGCTTCTCATTCCTCTCATCTGACAGAGCGAGGAAATATACGGTGGATACCAACCTGTGTAAATACACATTTCTGTAAATATTACTATACGTAACCATCTGTATCTATAACAACCTAAACATGCATTTATACTGATGCCCCCAACTCTAATCCATTATGACACGAATCATTTGAGCCTCCTCCTCTTGCTCGTCTGTAATCTCCTGCTCCAGCAGTGAGAACCTGACTCTAGTATCAGCCACTTATTTAATTGTTCATTTCCAGTATACATGTATAGCAGCATCAGAAATGCTAACCCATACCTCATGGTAAACAATTTTCCAGTATACATGTATGGCAGCGTCAGAATTGTTAACACACACCTCATGGTGAACAATTTTGTCAACTAGAGTATAGTGTTTGATACAGTGTCTTTTACCTTTAGTTTGATAGACTCTATTCATTCCCAAAGTCACATAGGTCTACAACTTTCTCCTCACTACACCTTTCAGTGAGGTTGTTTTATACATGTGTAAGAAAGTTAGATTATTTTGACACATTCTGTGTTTCATCTGGCATTGTACAACCTCCTAAATAATTGTTCGTAATTTGCATGCATTAAGATTCAGTCTTTATGCTGAAAAGGTCTATGGGTTTTGACAGTGTACAGTGCCCTGTACATACCATTACACTGTGATACAGAATGGTCTCTCCACCCTAAAATATCTCCTGTGCTTTACCTATTTAACCCTTCCCTACCTCCTACCCTGAACTCTTGGCAGCCATTGATCTTTCTACCATCTCTATAGTTTTAACCTTTCTAGAATGTCATATAATTGGAATCATGTAGTGTGTAACCATTACATACTGGCTTTTTTCACTTAGCAATATACATTTAAGATTCATCGTTGTATTTTCCTGGCTTGATAATTTCTTTTTATCACTGAATAATATTTCATTGTATAGATATACCAGTTTGTTTATACTTTCTCCTGTTGTAGGACATCTTGGTTGCCTACAGTTTTTGGCAATTAAGAATAGAGGTGCGGGTTGGGCATGGTGGCTCATGCCTGTAATCCCAGCACTTTGGGAGGCCGAGATGGGCAGATCATCTGAGGTCAAGCGTTCGAGACCAGCCTGGCCAACATGGCAAAAGCCCATCTCTACTAAAAATACAAAAATTAGCCAGGCATGGTGGCACATGCCTGTGATTTTTAGCTGCTCAGGAGGCTGAGGCAGGAGAATCACTTGAACCTGGGAGGTGAAGGTTGCAGTGAGCTGATATTGCACCACTGCACTTCAGCCTGGACAACAGAACAAGATCTATCTCAAAAAGAAAGAAAGGAAGGAAGAAAGAAAGAAAGAAAGAAAGAAAGAAAGAAAGAAAGAAAGAAAGAAAGGAAGGAAGGAAGGAAGGAAGGAAGGAAGGAAGGAAGGAAGGAAGGAAGGAAGGAAGGAAGGAAAGAATAGAGGGGCTGGGGCTGGGTGAGGGGGCTCATGACTGTAATCTCAGCACTTTAGGAGGCTGAGGTGGGCAGGTCACCTGAGGTCAGGAGTTTGAGATCAGCCTGGCCAACATGG